TTCATCAAACAGAATCAAAGAATGACTTGTTCAAAGTGTATTTTAGTTTGGTTTTATCAGCCAATCACATAACAATACAAGAAGATCTTCAAATCCCTGTATGGGAAGAAGCCTTAGGAGCAGCAGTGTGAAGTCCAGTGGACGAAGGCTGGAACTGAACATGAATCAGCTTCTTTCTTGACAGAGATGCATGATATTTTCTAGGTGCTTCTATATGGATGTTTAAGAATTGGAGATGAGACAAGCTAAGTTAAAGATGCTTTAGGTTGGACAATACGTGCTAAAATTGACATGGGACAGCATAATAGGGTGTCTGGCATTTCAGCGCCAGTTACACCCCATCAGTTCTGGACGTTAGTCCAGAAGGAATTGTTCATCTGCCCAGAAGAGGTTTTTTTTTATAAAAATGCAGCCTGCAGGCATTTTCACACCAGCTGCCATGCCTATTGGTGTCAAACTTTTTACCACCAGTGTTGAAAGAGATCCTGACCCGTTCTTCTACCAAGTCAGAGACGAAACTGGGGGCAGAGCAGAAATGAGGCAAATATTAGGTCTTACTGCTTAAAAATCACTGAAGCAGTTTACCAAGGGTTGTGATGGGATCCCCAATCAAAACAATAACTAATTCATAAGGAAATACTATTGGACTGTCTTTACATAATGTTTTGGCATGAATATCTGTGTGCATATGCAAGTCCAACCTACTTTTTGCTGGATCATGGATTTTGAATCCCTTTCGTACATAATTTCTGTGTCAAAGGAGCTCGTGGATACAAATGATTTGCTCCATGCAGAAACATGGAGCAAAACCATAGGAGGTATTTTAACACTGATTTCATTATGCTGCCCTGAAACTTTTTGTGAAGCCTATACTCTTACGCTGTCTAGCGTAAGAGATTGTTTTCAGGTTTAGGCACCAAACTATCCAGAAGTGACAGGGAGCATTTGGTTCTTAGGCTTCATCCTTACCTCATCTAAGGCCAGATGGCTCTTGTTTTGATGGAATTATCATGCAGGCTGCCAGTTAGACCATTCTGCGCTTGAAATATATAACAAACCTAGAATTTATGAGGTTTTGTTTCAAAGCAGTCTGAGGAAATTTCACCCTTATTTCTGTCTGTATCTGAAAGAGAATTATTTGGATTTGGGGTTTTAGGTCATTTTTTTTCTTAAAAACATTAGCAAAACCTTATTGAAAACATTGTAACCTTCTGTATACGAAAAAATAGGTAGTGTTTTTTCTTTTTCCAATAATCCTAGTGCACATAAAACAAAGTTAACAATTTTTTAATTGTTTTGGCAAACTGCTCAGGAAGTAGGGGAACATCTTTTTGTTAATATGATTGACATTTGTAATTAGCTCATCAAAAGGCATTTTCTTAATAATTTTTCTTTTGATAAATTTCCCCAGATTGTGATCGAGACTAGTTTGGAAGGATTCTGACTGTGGGCAAGTCTTCAGGCAGGCTTACTAGCTGCCACTGAAAAGCCAGTTCATTATGCATTATCTGACGCTGTAGATATTTCGAAACGGAACTGCAGTTGACCGCACATTTGGAAAGGTTACTAAATTACTATCATGAGGTAACAGTATGAGGTAACCTGAACTAGATAGGAACTATTTAGCTCTGTATCCACCTATAGCCCCCAGACCTCATCCATCAGCATTTTACTGTCTCAAATTGGGAAAGATTCCTTAGGTCTTAGATGCCACTTCCTTAAGTGGCATCTAACTGGGCGGTGCAGGAAGAGTTAGAGATCTGTGTGCGGTCGCAGGGCCATGATCTCATTGCAGTGACAGAGGCATGGTGGGATAGTTCGCATGACTGGAATGCTGTCACGGATGGCTACGTGCTTTTTAGGAAAGACAGGCCAGGAAGGCGAGGTGGTGGAGTCGCTCTTTACGTGAGGGAGCAACTAGAATGTGTGGAGCTCTGCCTGGGGGTGGATGAAGAGCAAGTTGAGAGGCTATGGGCAAGGATTAAAGGGCAGGCTAACACGGGGCGACATGGTGGTGGGGGTTTACTACAGGCCACCTGATCAGGAAGAAGTCGTCGATGAGGCCTTCTACAGGCAGCTGGAAGTAGCCTCACGATCACAGGCGCTGGTTCTCATGGGAGACTTCAACCACCCTGACACCTGCTGGGAAGACAGCACAGCCAGACACAAACAGTCCAGGAGGTTCCTGCAAAGCATTGATGATAATTTCTTGACCCAGGCGGTGGAGACGCCAACGAGGAGAGGTGCGCTGCTAGACCTTGTGCTAACAAACAAACAAGGTCTAGTTGGAGACGTGAAGGTTGGGGGCAGCCTTGGCTGCAGTGGAGTTCAGGATCCTACGAGGAGGGAGCAGGGCAATAAGTAGGATCGCGACCCTGGACTTCAGGAGAGCTAACTTTGGCCTCTCCAGGGACCTACTTAGGGGAATCTCGTGAGGTAGGGCCCTAGAAGGAAGAGGGGTCCAAGAAAGCTGGTTAATATTCAAGCGTCACCTCCTCCAGGCTCAAGATGGGTGCATCCCTCTGAGTGGGAAGTCCAGCAAAGCGGGCAGGAGACCTGCATGGATGAGCAAGGAACTGCTGGCAAAACTCCCAACAGAAGAAGGAAGTCTACAGAATGGGGGAAAGGGGACGGGCCACTTGGGAGGAATACAGGGACGTTGTCAGAGTGTGCAGGGATGTGACAAGGAAGGCTAAGGCCCGTTTGGAATTAAATCTGGCAAGGGATGTCAAGGACAACAAGAAGGG